TTTCAAACGGACAGTTGAAAAATTTTGTTGACTAACATGAATGAATATTTCATACTGGAATTAAACCTAAATACATGCCTCAATTGCTTGGATAAAGTAAATGAAGTTTCAAATGTAATTAAACTCAAGTTACATCCCAAAAGTTACAAATATTTGGTGCGAATGAGACTATATGCCTCACACTCCCGATTAGTTACCTTGCTTGGACTGGAACAAGTTGAAAGGAGGTTATTGTCAAGCGAAGACTTTAACCAACCAAATAAATTGAAGTGTCGATTAAAGTCGACTAGAGAAATTGGTTTTGAGTTCGAGATTATTTCGGCTGTATTTTGTCAGATTATATGGTATCGTCACGAACGTCCGTCAAAGCTGCCCAACGATATCCGACCCACAATCGATCAACTTTCATCGATTTCTTTACGATATTGTGGCACAAACACAGTCACTGCAATCACTGATTTCTGTGCCAATTTGCATTGTGCAAAGAGTCGAATTGACACCTTAATTGTAAACCATCGTTTTAATATAATGATATCTTATGATTCATTTCACAAACACTCGTCGTCAAAATCAAAAAATCACATGAATAATTCTAAGCGAAGAAAATTAACATCTGAAATATATATCACCTCCTAGCATATATCGTAAAGGAGAGAATTTTCATGATGGCAGCAAAATGTTTTCAAGAGACAATATTGAAACAATTTCGAAACAACTTACAATCGACTAACATTTTTTGCACTGAAGAAATCTTCAAAAGTGTATGTTTTTTTAAGGTTGAAGTTGACGACGATGAAGTGGCTCACCAGGTGGCGTTGGGCACGTTGTTGGCACTCCTATCAGATGCGTGTCGTTGTATGGAAGAATTGTGGCCGAGTAAGACGCAAGCTTCAGATGTTCGTTCATTACGGGTGTTAACAATGATAAGGTCGAGTAATCAGTTCGATCACTTGATGGTCTCTTCCTTGTATACGGATTGCATGGTATTTGTAGAGGATAGCGAAACTGTAAGGAGTGTTCTGGCGTAATACTTATCAAATAGCTCATCTGAATTATCTCGATCAATCCGTTACCTATTCATGTTGGGAAAACTGACTGAAAAGACTGCGAGTTTAAGCTGTTTCTTAATTTTTGGTTAACCACGATGTTCACGATCTCGTTTGTTTTGAATCCTTTTCGAAATCAGTACTTGATTGTGAGATATTTGGAATCTTTAGATCTTTAGATCGAAGCTTGAGGTAGGTTGGCTTCTCTGAACTTGCCCTTTTGTATGGTTCAGTTTTTCCCCAAAGTTTAATGAAAGTGGGTTCATGCTAGATATATTTGCTCAATGTTTATTGCATTCTTATATTGGTTCATCGTCGCATCTGTTGTTAAAATGTTGATCTCATTGTAGCAAAGCAGGCCGGACAGGTTCCACGATAAGTGTATTTGTATTTGCGTGTTTATCGTTTGAAATTTTGAAACTGAATAAAGAATTATATAACTTGACATTTTCAAGTGGAACGGAGCATAAAAACATAAAATCTTACCATAACAACGTTCAGTTATTAACTTTTGATAGTAATTATTGAAATCATTCAAATAATACTATTCAGTTCGGTGATTTCCTCATCAGAAGATACGCCCCAAATTGGAGAATAAATTGCAAAACGCTAACAAAATCCATTCAGTGTTCAATTAATTGAAACTCAAAATCACAAACCTAAACACTCAAGGATATCCATTGATAAGATTGTAGTGGAGATGGGAATCATGATCGCACAAATAATATTCAGATCCTTAGTTAAACTTCATCAATCCGAGCATCTAATTATCGTGACTTATTCAAGTCATTCCATCTTTGCCTCCACGATCTCCGGATGAACAATGGTAGATGAAATTGTAAAAACTAAGAGGTGAGGCGGTTTCGATGATTACACTATCGTAAATCAGGGTTGGATCAAGGC